CTCTTTCGATAATCCACCGCCTGCATCAAGACTCAAGTCTCCGCGCATTTGTAGAGAATAAAATAAAATCAAAGTTTAAACTTCAATTTCTATAAATCCGATCCTTTGCCACAAAGCGGAAGCTCGAAGTCTTCTATGATACGTGGCGCAGACGATGGACTGTCAAGAAGCGTGCCCCGTCAAATCTTCGGCAAGGTTGTTATAGGCTCTATGGTAACCCATTGCGTCACTCACGAACCCAGCTTCGAGAATTGATAACCTAAATGGTTCCTCGAAGCAAAGATAAATCTCGACGCAGGGTGCCGCCATCCAAATAAAGATTCCTCTCGCACATTTTAACCCAGCTCTCTGTTCTCCACCCCTTACATACGGATGGTAACTGGATCGAGCGTGCAACGTTCGATCCTGGTCTGGACCCTGGATCCCGTATCGATCCCGTGGACCGAACACGGCCGTCGAAAATTCGTGGGGCGGACGTTCGCCATGGAACGCTGAACACCTCCAAGTTCGCGACACTAGGTTGTATCCGACCGATAAGTTTTGGAAAGCGTTCCGCAGAATGACCAGCCGCCCTTTTGAGGCCAGCTGCCAGCTTGTTTCTGAAAGTTCCCGTCTAAATAGGCGGCCGTAGCATCGACAGTTTCGTAACTGAAGTTGCTGGCCGACGATAACGGCGGCAGCCGGTAACAAACAGAAGTATCAAGAGACGAAGTTTCACCGCCTGGAAAGAACAGGATAACCGGACGACTGCTCGTGTCCCGGTGACTTTGCAGTTTCGAGAATAAAAAGCGAGCCACCCTCGAAAAGCTACACCCTCTCCCGGCGTTGTTTCGCGTATCCTTCGGCCATCTGTTAGCCGAGCGATTTCCGGGAACTTTCGAGCGAAGAAAAAGCCTCGATCGGTTCTCGCGGCAGATGAGATTTTTGATTGCTTTCTTGCGCGTCGGGTGGGGTGGCCGGTGGTGAATCGTGGTCTTTAGAGGACGCGAATAGGACGAGGTCTCGGGCGTTACCGAGCACCGAATTCCCAAGGATGCAGGAGAGTGACGAGGGAAAAGAGGAAGCTATATAACGCGGGAGTACCCTTCGAAAAGGACCGGTGGAAGAACGAGATCTATTCGTCATCCTGTCGGCCTACACGGTGTTACGCCACCTTAACCTCGAGATTCACGGGGGTGGATTCTTTCAATGGGCGGGAAAAAAATATAACCGCCATCTGACTTATGCCCCCGAAAGAAATGAATCGTCGGCGAGTGTATCACGGAAGGTAAAATCAGTGACCTTCGTCTAACTTTCTCCCCGCGGAAACCCCGGCCATTTTTCATCCCTTAAACGTCTTTTTATGCAACCTCTCCCCAAGCCGGGGAGAGTAATCTCTCGCGGAAGAATTAAAGGAAAAGTCCCTACTCGTTTGTGGCCCGATGGTAGTTCAAGGTGAACGGAAGCAAGAGTTTGAAACAGACTGTGGAACATCGCGGGAAGATGAACGACGATGTCGGCCATCACGCCGAAGAGACAGACTGATAAATCGTTCGCGTGATCGAAGAAAACCGAGCGTACAGAGCTCGCGAGATTCGACTGCCTTTATGAAACCCTCGCTTTCCCGGTGAATATCATTCTGTCGAGCGTCACTTGCACGTGTTCCACCCTACAGTTTCCGTGCCGCGAAACCCTGAGTGATTTCCCCTTCCTTTCCCGGAACAACCGATCTTTAATGCAATCTCTCCACCTGGAACTCGCGATCCGCGTTAAAAATTTCCCATTCGAGAATCGAAGATCGGAACACGGGCTGAAGGAATGTGCTTATTCGACCGGCGTACACGAAGAAGCCACGCCATTTCCTATTCCATTCGTTCGTTCTCCTCGGATCGGGGGCCTCCACGCGTGACTCGAGTCTCGTCTTTCCCGATGGAGCGTCTTTTCGTTGCTTTTAGCGAGCGGATGGGACGTCGCTGCGGGATGTTTCCGTGGGGGGTCCCGTCGCTAAAATCTCGGCGACGGAAACCGGAAGGGGTCGCCCCGGGGCGAGGTCTCGCGTGGTCGGTGCACTCGCTGCCGAGGAAACTGTAACGATCCGAAGGACGCGAGTCCGTGAAATCGCGGGGTGGAACCCGGCGAAGGGTGGGGCAAGCAATCCCAAAGAGTGAAGTTTATCGCGTTGTTACTTTAATGAAGCATTCTCGTTTAACGGGTGCGAGCATTCGGCGGAAGGTAGCAGGGAGAAATGCTAGGGATTCGCGAGATAACTCGCCGCGTCTAACGACGACTACTTCGCCCGAAAGATACTGCAACTTCGCTAATTTCGCGATAATGGCCGCTGCAGTTAACGATAAATTCGTCTGCCGGCTAATTTGCCTCGAATGCGACGGGCACGGTGACGTTACGTCGAACGGGATACGGGAAGACTCGGAAGAAAGGGAACCGGCATGAGAACCGTTAGTTACGAGGGGAGCGTGTTCCTCGTCGTCGCGAAAGGAACGGAAACGAGAGACGAGAGCACGAACTTTCAGAGGAGGAACGAGATAAACAGGAATCTTGAGAGATTCGACCGAAAGACGGCACTGATTTAACAAAGCGACCCCGTTTAATGGATGCGACGTTTTCCGGAGAGGCGGAAGAGAACGTTCTCGGAATGCGAACGATGACTCTGTTTCCGGCAGACCTCTCCGCGCTGCAACCCGGAGGCAATGAATCGTTCACCCCGATGTTGTCAGACGATCGTCGATGAGAGAAGAAACTAAGACCACCGTAATCCTTCGGTACTTATCGATCGTGTGCCAGTTTCGCTGCATTTTATTCCGACCCCGGATGAAAAGAGCGCGATTGTTCGCACCGGGAATGACCGAGTGGAACGCGAGCAGTGGCCACACTGCTACGAGGAGGAGAAAGAACGCCCGGTCGCCTTCTTTTTGTCCCAGCGAAAATGACAAGTGTCAACCGGTGAAATCGAATTTCGTATTAGTAACCGTATCTCGGAAGTACGGACGTCAGATATCACGGGCGATATTTCCAGCGACGCGACAGCGGATCTCTCGATAGAAGCTATTGGAAAGCTCTTATCTGCGAAAGAAGCGGCCGGGACCAGGGATCCCTTCGGTGCTTTTGCAAAAATTCCGCACCATCCCCGCGGCGCGTCATGCGATTATTAGATCGAATTCGAAACGCGATTCGCCCGGGTGCCAAAGCGACTGGAACAAATAGCGTATTCTAGGCCGGGACGCGCCTAGAATACGGAAGATCACGCGATTTCTCCGAATATCCAACTATGAATCTCGGGTTCCGCGTGCTCGAATTGGAATTCCTCGCAAACAAAGTATCTAAGGAACCGTCTGTCGTGAATTTCAATCCGATCGAACGGCTGCCGCAATAAGTGTCACGGATCACGCGTGAGCCAGCTACGAACTAGCATACGGCGTACGCGTCGCGCAGAGAATTTTCATTCCCGAGACAATCGAACGCGAAGACGATCCAAGCTTATCCCCTTCCGGTTAATTTCCCCGTACGGGGGACACAAAAACGCGAATTATCCCTCGAGACCAACTCGGTCCTCCGTTCTCCCGATCACCGTTCCTCTTCTTCTGATAACCGGCTCGTTTCGACCGGTTTAAGCCGCGTTAATCCGGGCTTTTCGATCCGAGAGCAGTCGGTAAATCCGCGAAATGGGCCGATCGATTTTAACGCACCGTCCCCGGGATATCTTTGAGACTACTTCGGGACGAAACGGCCCGCGAGCTCTCGAGTGCCATTATCGCGGTAAAAGGGGCAAAGAAAAATCCGTCCTCGCGATACTCGAAACTTAGCCCAATTATCCCCTCCGACTGGACGTTTGCAGAGTGTCGTCCTCGAGATGAATCGACTCGGAATGATGGTGGACCTGTCGCACGTCTCCGTGCCCACGATGCTGGTCGCCATGAAGACGTCGAGGGCGCCCGTTATCTTCAGCCACAGCAGCGCCCACGCCCTCTGCAATTCCTCCCGAAACGTGCCTGACCATGCACTCCGACGATTGGTGAGTTTTTCATACCGATTTCTCTTACGACTAACGCTGGATTTATTTGACTGGGCCCATTCGACTCGTTAAAAATTGAATTAATGAAATATATGTAAATGTTAACACTTTGCACTCGATGGGCGCTTCTCAGTCGCCATTTAATCAAATTCTAAAGATCAAATTTACAATTACCCAACGTGATGTGCAATATCAAAATAAAATAATTGTACGTCTTAATTTGCATACGATTTCTTATTTACCGTTTTAAAAATATCGTCGACTTTGTGGTAGAAAGTCTTCGAATTACTATTTTCCTGTAACGAAAGAATCGCCGAGTGCAAAGGGTTCATTCCTGTCCCCCGCAGACCCCTCCATTTCGCATTATCGAATATAGTATACCTATTTTTACGTTCGTGAGCCAATTTGATTCGTAAAATAATTTAACAATTAATCGCATAACACGTGAAATTTATAGCTTACATCAGGTCTGAGCAACATCAGCTAAGTAAATATAGAGATGTCGAGAACACTTTCACTCCATTGACAAAAATTCAAGTTCAATGTGACAGCCTTTGTGCTGAATGTAATAGAAATATTTGCCGAAAATATATTTCAAAAACAAACTTTATATGCAAAAAATATTTTCAATGAATTTTTTAATAATAAATCTTCCATTTAAATCGATTTGCAACTATTTTCTTTGCAAAGTCCAATTTTCTTGTATGAGTCAAACTGACTCACTTCGGTAAAAATAGGTATATAATCAACATCCGTAAATCCAGTGTTAACCCTTTGCACTCGAGAGGCGCCCTTCAGTCGCCATTTGATAAAAATTCGAAGCTCGATATTCATTAATATGTCAATTTTAAAATAATGTAACGAGGTATCGAAATCAAATAATTCTACGTGTTAATTATTATACGATTCCTTCTTCGCTGCTGGAAAAAATATCGTCAGCTTTATAGCAGAAAATCTTAAAAGATTAACCCTTTGCACTCGGGGGTTTTTTCGTTACAGGAAAATAGTAATTCGAAGCCTTCCTGCCATAAAGCCGACGATATTTCTAAAACGGTAAATAAGAAATCGTATGAAAATTAAGACGTAGAATTATTTTACTTCGATATTCCATGCATCGTTGAGTAATTGTAAATTTGATATATTAATTAAAGTCCATCTTTAGAATCTGATTAAATGGTGACTGAGAGGCACCTCTCGAGTGCAGAGGGTTAAATCTATCTCACGAACGACAACGAGTCTAACTAGTCTTTTTCGTCCCCCGTTTCTGTTCCAGGCGCAAACAGACGGTATAGTCATGGTGTCCTTCTACCCCCATTTTATCAGCTGCGGCGAGAAGTCGACGCTGGAAGACGTAGCCGGTAAGTTAAACGAGAGATTATTTATGTCAACGGTAATTTATAAACACGTCACGTGCGAGCGATTCCAGACGTCACCGGCTAACGATTAGATACCGTGCGAGATAGATATCTTCGCTATCCAGGGTGAGACGCCTTTGTTCGGACTGATAAAGTTCCTTTAGGAAGGCTAATGCCTTCCCTTTTTCCGTTCCAATCAACCTTGCCCTCGGTCTTTATTCCGCATAACTACGAGCCGCTGGCACGATCATCGTCCCATATTCCAGGATAAAAGCTAATTGAAGGGGACGCTGGAATCGCGTCGAAATTCTCCTTTTTCCCTTTTCCCGCGCGTTAATATCGTTTCCTCCAGCTGAGCCGCGCCTCGCATAGCTCCCACCATCTGGAGACCCCGATATTTTCCGTTCCCGGTTAGCAAGACCGCTAAAGAGCTCTCGGGACAGCCGCCAATTTTCTTATACATCGAACTTATTCCCATAGAGACCGGGTCTTATCCACGCCACGTAAAGAATCGTTCCTCGAGATTCATCGGAGGAACGATAATCGACCGAAATTCCTCCGAAATTAGGTGTCGAAGATCAAGAAAATAATACGACATTTGATACATTTGTTAGAACCCGGATGTCAATATACAACACGGGTTCGAGCAACAAGGCTACGTTGGAAAAATACAAGTCGGCGGAGAGGAAAATGTTAGAGGACTGTCATCTATAGGTGTTTACCTATGTACATCAGAGAAACTCCAGACCGGCTAACTTTCCCTTTGTATCCCTTACTCATCCTTAACGCCCTATTGCTCGCTCGAACGCTGACCTTCCCTGCATCATCCTCTCTTAACCTTCGATCTGTGGACAACACCCACTTATTTCTTAATTCAGATATAGATATTGCCCATTGTCCCAAATGTCGAGTTAGTCTTCCTCTAATAGTCAGTTGGAGTCACGTTGTTAAAAAGATCTGGTACGTATTCGGCCGCATTGTTAGACTCAAAGTTCGTCTGTAAGTTCTAACGAAAATAAATACTTACTTGGAATACAACAAAAAAACAAAACAGAAATTGAAACTGCAACTGACTGAACCGACTACTGAACTGAAAACTGTACTGAAACTGTCCTTTCGCAGATTTTGTGGGTGCTTATATAATGTTAGTTTTTGGTGGGGTGAAGATGACCATTGGCCCTTAGTGAAAGAAGGAATGAGTCAATTGTTTTTGGACTCTGAAATTGGTCTGCGGTCCTTCTAGCGACTAAGGGCCAACGAATCGTTAGTCATCCAACACGTTTCTGTCGAAAATCAAAAAACAAATGAAAAACCAAATGGTCGTGTTTTTATTCCGACAAAAATTGGCGGTATCGAACGAAACGAAACGTAGGGTCATAAAGGGTTAATCAACTGCCTGATAAATTCGACTGCACGTGCTTTCCAGCGACACTCGATCGCGCAATACGCGCTGCCACTCGAACATGGCGACGCCATTCACCGGTACCATTCTCCAAAATGGCGGCACGGAATCGCGAAAATTTCCGCGCGATCGAACCGCGACCCTTTCGCGTGTGCCACGAGTGACCTTTTTCAAAAAATACGTAAATGAATCCCTTCGATTAAAATCACTCGGTTCGAAAATTTGCCCGATTCGTGGACCAATAGACAAACGGGATGTCGTGCGCTCGTACACTCGGCGAGAGAACAGTTTCGGGGACCCGAATGCAAACGGGCCACGCTTCGAATAAACTTCGCATTTCTACGTAGAAATGAAATATACCAGAGCAAGAGCGAATTTATGCAGCAGCCTGTTCCAACGCGGCTCCAAAGCGCCAAAGGGAAGGAAAAAAATATTCTTCATCGAACGCGACTGCGTCGAGTCGGCAACGGGCAATTGCACTTTCATATCTGCGAACCCTTTGTGATTCATGAGACGCGAACGTAGGAAACTTTAGAATTTCAACGCGAACGGCAGGGAACTTGGCATTTCCTTCGTCCTCACCCTCCTCGGCCACCACGCGATACAGTCCTCCATTCGTCGCACTTCCGCTTCGTGCGCCAAGCCGCACGGACAGGATGGAGGTCACTCCGCTTCGTGCAATTTCGCAATTTTTCTTACCCCGATTACCTATACGCGTTCGGACTTTCCCGACGAGATCAAAATCCAGGCAAAATTTCCAGATCGCTATGGAAAATTCCAGAATTCTGCTCGGATCGCGCGCGCGGTTTTCAATTGTCGCCAAGCAAAATACCGATCCGCGTGTAACCAGTTTGGCGCGTTTTCGCGTTAACCTCCGCACTTGCAACGGCCACGGCGCGGCGCTGGGAATACGAAATGCAGCCAACGGCAGGCAAATATCGCGAGCCAAAGCGACGGTGGGAAAGAGAGCTTAAAGCGAAATAGCTCTCCCCGAGGAGTCACGAATTTCATTTGCCCTCTCTCGTCGCAGATTTCCCTTTTTTTCCGTTCCATCGACTGTGTCTTCCTCCGTGGGTAGCGAGGCAAGAGTATCAGCCGAAGATCGGACGATAAAGGAAGTTCGTGACTTCGACGAGGATCGATAGGACTCGGTGAAACGGGCAACGAAGGGTCGCGTGGATAGATCCGAGGATAGATCCGATTAAATGGCGAAATTTATTCGAAACTTTTACTTTCTGCACGGATTTTTTTCTCTTTTTATCTTGTCTCGATGACATTTCTATCTCGTCTCATTGACGGACGCTGAAGATGCTCGAAAGTGCCACCGAATAGAACTACGACCCCCTTTCGCGAGGAAATTATCGGTGTAACTAAATTTATTATTAAAATATTATCCAAAGAAGGTTGGTTCAAGAGTGACTCGGACATGAGATTCGCGAGATTGTAAGGTCTGCTACGCTGACGTGACAGTGTCTAAGACACGGTCTAATCAAACTTAATTGACATAGACCTGATTAGGGTCTCAAAATAATTGCGAATTTGCGCGTATCGCGTGTGCGAATGCTATTACAAATGTTGGATGACTAACGATTCGTTGGCCCGTAGTCACTAGAAGGGCCTGGTTGCTAAACGCAGACTAATTTCAGAGTCCAAAAACGATTGACTCGTTCCTACTTTCACTAAGGGCCAATCATCTTCGCCCCACCAAAAACTAACATTATATAAGCACCCACAAAATTTGCGAAAAGTCAGCTCCAGTTCCAGTTCAGTTCAGTGTCAGTTTTCAGTTTCAGTTTTAGTTTTTTACCTCTTCGCCGACTTGTATTTTTCCAACGTAGCCTTGTTGCTAGAACCCGTATTGTATATTGAAATCCG